GCTACATAAATAAACTTGCCTTGCCTAAAAGGGCAGCTCTATTGATGCATTCCAATAGACAACAATAGCGTAGGTGACATCTCATGTTATATCTATAGCTTTGCTCAATGACAGGCTAATGGCCACTGACACACTCTCTCACAGAAATTTTAAAATAGGCACTGTCCTTATAAATAAACTGCATAGTTGCAATCTAAACAATTACATTCTCGACTAAAAAAGCCTGAAAAGCACACTATGCTGTCCAACAGCTGCAATATTTGGCAAACTGTCCTCTGCTTGTCACTGTATGTGGGTGGAGTAATACACAAGGGTAAAGTGTGATGAGGCTGGATGGGTGCGGTTATTTGCAGAATATCACACGGCCATCAGCCAATCAGATTCAAGAACTAGACAGAACTGTTGTATAAATAAATATATTTATCCAATGAAATGTATTTGAAACAGCTAAATCTTGTTGAAAACAACTGTCAGTCAAATACCATAACTCCACCCCTGTCTTGACTGACTGAAGTTCCATATCAGTAGCTGAACATCTTGCAAGGGTAATACAAAATCTTATAACATTACACTTAGTCCCTGTATAAATCAGGGGTTGCCACAGTGGCATGAACCACTAACTTATTCAGCATGTGTTTAACACAGCGTATGCCCTTCCAGCTGAAACCCATCACTGGGAAATAATATTACACAGTCTCGAGGAAATTAATTAAGCGAAACACAGAAACCATTGGTCCTTAGTGAGTCATTAAACAGTCAAAAGCTACTGGCATTTACAAAAACAACAAATAAGGGAAAAACTAAAGTTTGGAAGCTCGTACTCCAGAGTCTAGACAGCCATAAACACATTTAAAGCTGTTTTCCAAGGCTGTAGATTTAAACGAATAATGTTTTGAACAGTTTTTTCTTTAATAGATGTTTTGTCAGGAAGCCGCATGTATTCATTAGTGTTTTTCCTTTTATAGGGCTGGTACGTATTGACTTGCATTTTAGGAATGATCAAGAACCTATCTATCTAATTATGTGCTCATAGAGAAGTACTTGTGCAATAATAGACTGCATGGGACAGGGTACAAAGGAAAATGTGGGAACGTGGGAAACCTTTTATTTTCAAAATGTGTAAACCAGGCCTGTAGCCAGAAGGGGTTTGGGTGGTTCGAAAGATGCACCCCTTACTGACGAGGGTCCAGAATTTGTCCCAATCATGAGCTCATTTGTCCTATTTTGACTGCTATTTCATTGTAAATTATGCAAATAATCCATCGAATAGAACCCATTTAGTCCAATACACACTATTATTTTGTCCAACATTTAACTGTGCAAGAAAATATAAGAGACATAAGAGAACTCATCTTTTGCAACTGTGTTGCTTTTAAATAGAGAAAACATTTTACAAGTAACATCTATTCTAAATCTTGGACCTTATTCTTAAAAAAAAGTGATCAATGGGAAGGTGTGAAGCACCAAAAGAGGCCCATATTCAAATAAATTTGAATACTAATTTGGCTAATGTTGTTGTTATACATGACTTTTCAAATGTACTTTTTTACAAGAGAGGCTAGAAAATTTCAAAGCTTTACATTACAATTATTTTATTATTGTTTCAATTCTTTTTTATTCAAATGTCCAAATTCTTGTTATTTGCCTAATAAATGACAATAGGCTCCAGATTTTTATGTAAAACCTCAACAAATTCTTATATTTTTTTCTAATGATATATGATGTAATAAATTTGTATTTTAAAAAATAATATAAATTTTATTCTAAATATTTAGGAAATATTTTTGTACATCAAAAAGTGTGGTTATGATGACCATTCGACAAGCTAATCCAGCTAAAAATAGAGCTTAAAATGTCACTAAGACGAATTGTTTAAACCTCATAATTAAATAGAAAATGAGGCAAATAACTGCAAAAAGGTCCTCTTCTTCAGAGAAAACAACCGTCCCTTTCACCAGGGGCTGTAAACAATTAAAGGGTTTTACCCACCTGACAGTCTCGGCGTCCGTTTCCACAGGAAGCTCAGCTACCACAGTCTTTTGGTCTTGTCGCTTTTTGGTCTCTACAAATGTAGGACGTTTGTCAGCGTAAGCCATTATTGACAGGTAAGAAATCTTGCACTTCGTAGCCATAGTGACATAGATCATAGGCCTCGTGAAAACTTATTTACGTTTATTTTCGCGCTCTTCAGCTTCAGTGAACGCGCAGGATGATTGACAACACCTCAGAAGCCTTGTGGTTGGCTGAAGTCGCCATGATGTTAATACAAACTTAAAAAGTAATACCTGGAACACCCAAGGTCCCAACAATAGCTACTTTTGTTATGGTGAAATCTCAGTCTGTTTACTCTGTGGTCATAATGTGGTAGCTATTTTAGACATCTTTTTGGGTATTTCTCATCATTGCATACACAGAACATGCAAAAATGTACACTCCCAGCATCGGAAATATGTGCATTCACTATCGATTTACACGGATCCCTCTCTTGCAGGCTACATCATAATATTCATTTGTCCTGGACGGCTGAATAAGTGACAGTAATAGACCGAGGCCCAGAGGAAGAAGATGAAGACATGCTATCAAGAGCAGCTGTGACACGGCAGCTGGTCTGACAGTGTGTATGTGGTCTGAATACACATCTTTTCATCTAAGGTACCATTAGAAGGTCACTGATCTTGTGTATTCAAATGTATTAGCATTATCATTATTAGAGATATCAGTAACATGTCAGAGGTTTTTTTTCTGAGGTATTTGCATTGTGCTGTTTTCTGAGCAGTTTTAGGAAAATTGCTTCAATCCTGATGTATATACGTAGATCTGTACAGAGCTGGTTTAAATTTTTGTAAACAGTAAATGCTTTTTTATGTGAAAAGTTAGTTTGAAGAAATGACAGCTGCTGATTTTATTACTAGCCATACGCCCTCTAGCGGTAAGTTTCTAACAAAGCATGCTGAACTAAAACAAGAAAAAAATACACTACCACGAAATTTAAATAATCATCAAATCTAACTGTGGTAAATCATAGTAAACAGTTTACTGCATTTGTATTCTGAATTATGTTAATTTACTGATGACATAGGCCTATACAGACTGCAAGTTATAGATTAGACATTATCTTTGAATTGTCGGATTTATTGCACATTGTGACTATAATCGCACAAAAATTACTGCCAAGTCAATCACCACCAGTTAATGATGAGAAGGTTGTGTTAAATACGTACCTGTTTACCAACCGATACAAAGCTTTACTTCTCAACAGTGTAAGAAGCATTTAGTTTCATGCAGCTGAAGTCAGAACTATTAGCCCCTTTAATTTTCTTTCTTTTTTTAATATTTCCCAAATTATGTTTATCAGATCAAGGAAATTTTCACAGTATGTCTGATAATATTTTTTCTTCTGGAGAAAGTCTTATTTGTTTTATTTCGGCAAGAATAAAATCAGTTTAAAATTTTTTTATAAACATTTTAGGGTCAGAATTATTAGCCCCTTTAAGCTATTTTTTTCCGATTGTCTGCAGAACAAACCATCAATATTCAATAACTTGCCTAATTACCCTAACCTGCCTTGTAAACCTAAATAACATTGTTAAGCCTTTAAATGTCACTTTAAGCTGTATAGAAGTGTCTTGAAAAATATCTAGTGAAATAATATTTACTGTCATCATAGCAAAGATAAAATAAATCAGTTGAGTTATTAAAACTATTATATTTAGAAATTTGTTGAAAAAATCTGCTCTCCGTTAAACAGAAATTGGGGGAAAAATAAACAGGGGGGCTAAAATTATGACTTCAAATGTATGTCCCCAAAATGTATAAAGATGGGTTCATGGTACACTAAAAAATGCTTTCACTTGCAAAAAAATTAAATGAACACAATAATTGATTTATACTAAACTACAGTATACAATTAGTACTTATTTTTTCATTCAGTTTCACATACACTACCGGTCAAAAGTTTGGGGTCAGTGTGATTTTTAAATGTTTTAAATATGCTTCTGCTCACCAAGGCTGCATTTATTTTATCAAAAATAAAGTACAAATTAAATTAGTAAAATTGTGAAATGTTCTTGCACTATAAAATAACTTCAAAAATAGATTATAATTTGATTTATTCATTTATTCTAGTGATTTAAAACATGAATTTTCAGCTTCCTTACTCAAGTCTTCAGAGTCACATGATCCTTCAGAAATCATACTAATAATAATTATCATTGTTATTGTTATTATTATTATTATTATTGGTAATAGCAATAAAAGCAATAATGACTGGAGTAATCATTTCATTTGAAACTACATACAATAAAAAAAAACTGTTATTTAAAATTTAATAAATATTTAACATGGATTCATTCATTTTCTTTTTCGGCTGAGTCCCTTTATTAATCTGGGGTTACCACAGCGGAAAGAACCACCAACTTATCCAGCATATGTTTTATGCAGCAGATGCCCTTCCAGCAGCAACCCAACACTGGGAACTAACCATACACACTCATTTACACACATACACTGCCGACAATTTAGCCTACCCAATTCATCTGCATGTCTATGTATTTGTGGGGGAAACTGGAGCATCCGGAGGAAGCCCACTCGAAAGCGGGGAGAACATGCAAACTCCACACAGAAATGCCAATTGACCCAGCCGAGGCTTGAACCAGTGACCTTCTTGCTGTGAGGCGATAGCACTACCTACTGTGCCACCATGTCACATAAAAATTTAACAATTTTTATTTACATTTAATAATAATAATTTTCTTTAAAAAAAACTGGAAAAAAAAACAGACTCCAACATTTAATCTGTCGTGTATGTCCCCAAAAATGTCTATAATGGCAGGTTTCAGTGTTGCGTTATGCTTAAAATAATTTTAAATTGCAAAAACAAATGTATAATAATAAATAAATAAATAGATATAGATTAATATAGATATTGATAAATATAGATTTTGAAAAAGACTGTAGTTTTTTCCTCTAAAAACCTTTGTTTCATTTGCAACTTTTACACTTTAGTAAATGCATTAACTACCGATGAGAAATCCATTTGTTACAGGATTTATTAATTTTTGTTAACATGAGTCCACAAATGCTACCTGTTAGCTCAGGTCTATTACATACCATTAACAAATACATTCAATAGCAATATATGGATTTAATAAATAATGATATGAAATAAATGTTAAATTTTAAATGCTTTAGAAGTATTTTTATTGTTAGCCTATATTGTCAAACTTGTTAGTCGGCTCCAGAGTAAATATGTCAACAAACAATATCTTATTGTAAAGTGCTATAATGATGACTACACATTGTGCAACAGCAAAAAACAGCAAAAGTATTGTAGATGCAATGTTTAATAAGCGTAACTAAATGTACCACAGCTTTAGAAAATCGTCAAGGCTCTACATCTGATCTGAGTTCAGCAGTACTGAATCAGTTCATTCATGGTGCATCCAGAAGTACAGCAGACCCCTGCTGGGCCCGCATCACGCCGACTCCTGGACGACACACTGAGATCCTGCATGGTGGTGGAGTGATCCAGAGGCTCTGCTGGTGGGCTTGTGTGCTGGCGGGGGTCTGGATGCCCTCTCACGCTCTCAGGGGTGTCCCGCTCCCTCCACTGCTCATCTTCAACAGCCGGAGACCCTCTCTGGTGCACAACGAGGTCTCTATCCAGCCAGTTTTGGAGATTCCCTGAAAAATGACATGAGAGGATGAGAAAAGATGCATTAACCCTCATCTTGGGTTCTAATCAGCTTTTATTATTGTTTTGGATCAGTGGAGTAACATCTAGCACTGAAATTGTGGGTCAACTGTTATCATAATGATAACCAAAACTGTATCGCACATTCCACAATAATAAACAATGTCAAAGCATTTACACTTGCAGGACTGAGAAATCAGAAAACATATAGTATTTTTAAGTGCATAATACATTTTTGAATCCCAATTTTGAGCCAAAAATGAACACCAAAACTCAGATGTTGGGTTAAACTTTTCAGTTCCATTTTAACCCAACAACTGCTTAATAAGATGAAAACATATGAAGTAAACAAACAGACAACAACATGAATGTCTGAAAAAGTCAAACCTACTATAAGGGTATGCGAAGTGAAGGTCTGAATCAGGCATGCTGCGTTTGACTCGAAAACTCCCACACGATGCGACCACCGTCCGAACGAACTCACGACCACAAAGCTTCACTCGCACATCTTCACTCTCAGCCATGGAGGTCTTGAGGAGGATTAAAAAAGATAGAGATGCAAACAACTTAATGTTCATGGTGTTTCTCGGGGTGGTCAAACTGGAAATGCACTGTATTCGAGAGTGTTTGGGTATTTCGAGCTACCTATCAAAACCAGTTTGGGGGCCAGTTTTTATATCCCCATCAGACCTCTGGCGTGCACGCTTCTACAAGAATCTATCAGGCCTTGAATGAAGAAAATCATGTTCTGATCTTTCAGGCCTTCAAGGATTTCAGATAAAACATGTCAGCTGTGATATATGAAATTGCTCGGGTTCAAGGAAAATTGTGATATGTGGTCACACTTTTCGTATTTTCTTATAATATCTCTTATAGGCTTGACGAAATGCGTCAATGAAAGTCTACTGTCTCATGTTAGTGGAGGATGGTGTCATATTGACGTTCTTATGCTGTCATTGGATATTAGCGGTCTGTTTAACTTAATTCATGATGGACTTTTTTGTATGTGGTTGTTTATCTGTTTGTTTATGGAGGATTTGAGAAATCATTCAATTAGATATTGAAGTATAAAGTTAGAATGGCAACCCTCTTACCTAATTAGTACTGGTATTTATATGTAAAAATTTATAAAAACAAATACTTCTAAAAATATTAATGAATATAATGGTAATTACAGATCCTTGCTCTGTTCCGGTGCCAGATCAACACCAATAATTGAGAGGAATTGAAAGTGTTCACTAATTTTGATCAGCATGCATGTTTAAATGTAATATTTACTCCCGTTATGATCACTTGAAATAGGGCTAAGCATTGATCTCAAAATGTATTAAATTGTGCTTTCTCTTAATTGATTTATATATAAACTGTAGACTCAAAACAGATTTTTGCTGCTTGTTCAAACTGCTTATTTAAAATGAGCTAAAACAACACAATTCTTGAGATTTTTTTTTTTTTGGAGAACTTAATTGTTTTATGGTCAATCCACTTAATCATTAATAGTTAACCTAATTGATTTGTGTTGGGAAAACAAGATTTAAAGGGCACCTATTTTACCCTTTGTAAGATAAGCCTTTAGTGTCTCCAGAATGTGTCTATAGTTTTATTGCTCAAAATACCCATCAGGTTATTTATTATAGTCTCCAGAATCTGCCCATTTTGGTGTCTGAGACCTTTTTCTTGGCTGCTACATGGAGGGCGCCATAGCGACCAGCGTCTTCTGGTAGAATGTTTAGATCTTCCGTTTACAGCGTTTACAACTGGTAATTTGCACTCCGAAAATAGGTTTCAATAGCGTTTTGAGTAGATTACGTGGTGTTTTTGTGACACACAACTTGAAAGGTGTGTGTTAAAGCCGTTATAATCTGTCAGATGTGGTTCAAGCCCCAGAGAAAAACGTTCTAGTTCACATGTCTGCTGTCAGGGATACAGTGTGTGTGTCTGTGTGTGTTTTCCCAGCCTGTCAGCTGTTAGCTCAGCAGCTCTTCACTACACACACACACACATACACACACACACACACACACGTAATACTTTACTGCATCAAACCAGATTACTGGCATAAAACGTAACAGGTATGTAGGTCATGCAGTTTTCAAAACTGACCAATAAAAAGTCTGTTACTGATACTCTGCTGGCTGATTTGCATGTTCATTCATCGCGAATCGTTTATGTTTCATTTATTTAGTGTGTGTTTTGTATTATTTACCACAGTTTGTGTTTTTCTGTCATTTTAAATTGTCACTTTATTTTTCGTTTTGTCAGTTATTAAATCAGTGTGTTAGTAGGACGGTACAGCCCATGTGTGTGTGTGTCAAACATTATAGTGAATTACATTTGTTCGGGTTAGTTAAATGTTTGAAAAGAGAGAAACTTGACTTTAGTGATGACGAGGCTTCATTTAAACGGCACAAGATGCCATATGACAACAAGGGGAATGCCTCAAAGCAGTTTTTTTTCCATCCTATTAGTTCATATTTTTTAAATGATCAGTCCAGGAGGTAGTGTTGATCGACAACAGTTTTAGTTCAACGTTGATAAAAGCAGGTAAAATAGATTAAAACTATCGTTTCAAAGCTGTCCAAATGTGACTGTTTATACGCATCAGCTGTCGACCAGAAGTTCTTATAGCATTCTCCTTGCGCGTACACGCAGAGCATAAAGGGAAATTTTTCATTCTTAGAAAAAGGTCTAAAGCTGTTTTTGTAGCCAGTGGCTTAAAAATGCAAATGAGCTGCTTCTTCCCACACACCTGCTTCTGTAACATAAATATATTCACTAGATATCCCATACAGACCCTGAACATGAGTCAAATCTGTCGCCAAATTTGTACAGTGCTCCCAGGACAAATGTCATTCATTTGCACTAGTCAAGACTAAAGCCAATGTGAAAATGGTGGACTCTAGTGCTATGAACAGATGTAGTAACAAGCAAACAAAAAAAACAAAGCACAAAAGCAGAACATAGGATTTCGTTTTTTTTACGTTTTTGTAAGTTACAAACTTTTGTGCAAAACAAGTAAAGTTATTGATGATAATACAGTCTCTTACTGCATTGACCATAAGGCAAAGTAGCACCAACTCACACTTAAGCCTAGGCTTATGCTAGTTTTGTTAAATAAAAACAGCGAACAATGAAAATGAAATATGACACCAAGATTGCAAAGCCAGAAACTTATTGTTGGCTAAGTGAACGAACGTAAGTTATAAGTTCTAATAACATAACCGTGTCTGCACCTTAATGTGCTTACTGTCCACCCTAAATTATGAAATATTACTATAAATGTACCATTTAGATCTTAAAAGTGGATATGCACATTAAGTCGCAAGGATAGTGATGGTTCACACGAGTTGTTTATAACGGAAATTCATTCACAAACTAATCACTCCCTCTGTTAGCATTGGAAGTGTAAGCATGAGAGGGGGTGTGTTTCACGACACGAATTAGATCAAATTTAACAGGGAGGGAAGATAATACATTTCCATGCACACAAACACTTACTCTTTGTCTGTAATAGAGATGCACGGTTGGCGGTTATAGCCGCGGACTCCGCGGATAAACCGCGGATCGGGCGGATGACGTTACGAAAAAATAATATTTTAATTAAATTCGGGCGGGTGGCGGGCGGTTGTACTGTTTTTACAGGCATAGCTGGTGCACCAACGAAAAAGCCTAGGACTGACTTCACAGAATAGGAGGAATCGGATACACTAATTCTGGATGAAGTACAGAAGTATTCCTCTACAAACTTCCGTATAGACGGATCAGCAGAGGAAAATCTACTTTCTTTTAGGGAGAAATAAGGCCAGTCATTCCCACGACTACAGCACCTTTCCAAGAGAATTCTATGCATTTCAGCAACAAGTGCTGCGAGCGAGCGCTCCTTCAGTGCAGCAGGGCGCATTATAGTGGCTATGCAGGCGCTCCCGTCTGAATCCTGACACAGATGCTGTTTTATTCCTGCATTGTGCTAAAAAAAAATCAAACTAGACCTAAGGTCAGGCATATTAAACCAATTAGCCTATGTTATTTAGGCTACACATATGTTCAATATAAACTTTTGAGTTCGGTCAGCTGATAATTTTACGTTCATATTGATTTAGCCTATTCTATTCTAGACATGTTGGCCTCGCTTTTACGTTCTGAGACTAAGGTTATTTTGCCAGAATTTCTTTGTCGCAACTGTAATGGCGTAGTATTTCGTTATGCTTCAAGTTTGAGGGGAATGGGGATGATCCTAAGTCCATGGGTTATTGGGGCACTTGTCATACATGCACTTAGCCTGGTCAGACTTTATGTTCGCTCAAAAAGGGATGGCATATCTATTTTTCTAATTTAATTTCTAATTGTGGGGGTGACTGAGCCTATAAGGCTTAGGCACGATAAGACGTTTTTATTTTAAAAAAATTCAACTGTTTGCCAAAGCATGCGACTATAGCCTATGCCTACATTAAGATATTTATGTTAATATTTTTTTACTGCCTGTTGTTTCATTTGGCATATAAAATAGGTATTGTCTGATAGAGATATAAATAAAGGTTCATCTGTGTCGCAGAACTGGTGTTGTTTCCAATTTCTACAAGATCAATAACATCCACAGCAAAAAATAAAAAATAAAAAAATAGTCGAAAAACTGTGCCCATTAATTAGATGTGCAAGGCAAGCAGGTACGTTTTTGGGGTTGCTATGGACAACTACAAATGTAAACATTATTAGGCTATAATGTAAATGACTTATTATTCTATCTATTTACTAAAAAATAAAGTAAAATAGGCATTTAGTAGTAGGCTAAATAGCAGCATGTTGAAATGATGTGTCAATGCGTTTTCTATAGGCTACAATAAAAAAAGTTGTACAGTACAGTGCGTTTAATTTAGGCTATTTATTTACTTTTGTCCCTGTGCGCCGATTGGAGACGGAGTTCACTGCTGATATTCTGAGAGCTCGGGTGCTTCTCATTTCTTATTTGTGCATCCTCGTTTCCTTTCCTTGCTTTCTTTCCTCGTGTTTCCACCCCACCGGGATACGAGGGAAGGACGCAAGGAAAAGACTCAAGGACCGAGGAATCGAATCAAGTGAAAAGACACGTCCTCGTATCTTTAGCGTCACTTCAAAGCGTCGTCAATTAATGACTTGCACGTTTGGATTAACTGCATGTCTACATTAAAGTCATTCTCTATTCTATAATGATCAATAAGGAAACATTCATTTAATAATAAAAAGGAATAAGCCATTCAAATAAAGAGCCCAATCAGCAGATGGCGGGCGGGTGCGGTTTTAAAAATTGGTCAAAAATGTTACTGCGGATGGATGGCGGACGGATGATGAATTTTGTCATGCGGTTGCGGATGAAATAATAGCCCATCCGCGCATCTCTAGTCTGTAATGCACATGCAATCACTTATCCATCGATGTAGAAAAGTGATGTAAAATTACAATTTTCATAAATTAAAAACTGCCACTGGGAAAACTCCCAATCATAGATGCATGTATAAATGTTTACATATCTATGGTTCCAGATGGCCAGTCCTTCATTACACCTTGGTCCCACATTCATTTCAAAGGAGCACTACTCTGTACTAAAATGGCAGCTCTATTGACCCATTCCTTCCAATAGACAACAACAGCGCAGGCGACATCTAAAGTAAATATCTATGCTTCTGTTACAGCAGATAAACAGCAGTCAGTGATAGAGACAGACACGGATGAAGCTGAAATAAGGTCACTATAGTCAAAAATACCAAGGAAGTTTATTTCATGTGTGTGTGGAGTGTATTCAAGCCTTTCTGAAATGATGATTCTCACAAAGGCTGTTTGCACACATACACACACACACACACACACACACATATTAGTATTTACTGACACCATGCGGCCGTGGTGATTACAGCGGTTAAGAATTACAGAATGATTTTACTGTATTTATTACGAACATGCTCTGTTTAAAAACATTTTAAACTTATAAAACATTAAAAAATCACAGAGAGTGAAGCAAATTGTTTTATCTTAATAAATTGTTCTGTGGATGTGTTCTGTGTATTCATATTATAGAAACTTGGCGTCTGTCAATCAATTTAGTGGACGGGGCAAACTGGACTCCTACAACACTTTGCGGTCGGCCTCAAAATAGGAGGGATTTGGATCTTATTTAAACATCAGGAAATTTAAAAAAAGAGACTTATTGTGTTTCAATCACTCCAATATGACTGTGGACACACATTTCTGTCCAAACAGCTTCCAAAAGTTGATTTTCGTCATAAGTGCCCTTTAATTGTGTGGAACCCTACATTTTTTTTACGGAGTAGATACACACACATATGGGTTTCTCGAAGAATTTCCTTCCCTGGCTTTATTGTATTAATAATAAAAGCACATTTATGCTGTCCCTATAGTTAACTTCCCTCATTATCTCACAGTTACGCATAACTTTTTAAAATGAAAGATTATGCATGATAAAATGGGTGCTGTGCACTTTCTTTATTGACCTTTAGGCAGCATTACTTTTAATTTGATACACTGATTATTTAGCTATTCGTTTCGGCAGCTGGAGTGAGTTCAGCTCAATGGTAAAAAACGACAGACTGGAAACATAATTAATAATAAATGCATCCATTAGTTCTTCCAGTATTGTCTAAATTCACAAATTGTCCCATAATTGACCGTTACACAGTAATTCCCTGCTGACCTTTCCTATACAACAAAGGCCACTAACACTAGCAGCCGTTATGGGCTCTCGTCTTTACTCCCACTTAATTGAAGTTGAACATTTCACTTAAAACAATGGCATCACAAGTCCTCTTGATCCTTAAATCCTATTAGACATTAAGGCAGATCGCTTGACTTCTCACTGACGGTAGCTTATACGTGTTCGCTTAGCGTTTAGATTGTTTTCCGAGAAGGCAAAAAAATGAAGATGTTCATGGGAAAACACTGAAAACAATTCAAACAAAGCCTTTTATACTGAGCCAAATGAAAGCAGCTCCTCTGAGATTTGCATTGTGCTTGGGCTAAATACAAAAAAACAAATGTTCTGCATGTAGTTTTACAGAGCCTAAAGCTTTTTATTAATGATTACACTGAATTATTTATGTGGGGACATACAAATGATGAACTAGTTCCTTCTTATGAGCTCTTTTATTAGTTTTCTGATACACGCAAGTTGCAGGAACATGTTATGTAATACAGAACAAAGAGGATATGTTATGTAAAAGTTTTAAAGAACCGTATATAAGTTTAATATGATGAGGATAGTATGATGGATTCAGGGGGAAATGGAGGAACAGGATTTTTTAACCATTCTACAGATACAGTTTAATAAACAACAATAAATACAAATGATAAAACAAAAGAAATCACCCTTCAGGCCATCCTGAAATGATCAAAATGTAGATTGGGATCATCTAAAGCAGTGGTTCTCAAACTGTGGTACGTGTACCACTAGTGGTACAAGGGTTTCATTCTAGTGGTACGCGGAAGAATCACTGAATAATAAAAGAATAAAATGAACACACTTTTAACCAGGTTTTCCAGGTTTTGATGAATAGATTAATACTTTACAACTACAGCAGTTTCCTTTTTACTTTTTAAGAACAGTGCCACTTGTAATTAACCTTTATCAGCACATTTTAATTTAAATGGAAAAGTTTTTTTTTTTGTCTGCAAGAATAGTTAATATTTAAACTTATAATGTTTAAAGTGGCTGACAATCATACATATTCTTAATGATAGGAATAAATCTGCCCCATTTTAAACTGTGAAGAGCTGTAGCTGTTTAATTAGGCCTGCTATGCTATACTGTATCACAATGCTTGCCATTATGGTGGTACTTGGAGAGACTTTTTTTCTGAGGTGGTACTTGGTGAAATAAGTTTGAGAACCACTGATCTAAAGGGTTGATAAAGTGCTTACTGAAGTGGAAACATGTTTATGAAGTCAAAGACACGGTCTCTAAAAGCACCTCACCAAGAACAGAAACAGTAAAAGCAACACTCCAAATACACCAAAGATATCTGAAGGCCACATAAGTCTCATTTGATCCTCGGAAATCCTATTTGTATTAATTGAGGAAGAAACTTCAACAGAATCTCAGGATTCTAGTTTGTTTATCTATTCTGCGCAATTCTACCACTTGGCAATGATGAATCATGTGACCTGAAAAATCGGATTGTTCAAAATACTTCTCTTTGTCCAAAATAATAATAATTGTCTGCCTTTGATAAAGCCCGTTTGTTCATCTGATACAATTTTTGGAAGTACATTTTTAAGACGAAAGGCTAATACTTTGGCCAATATCTTGGCATCTACATTTTGTAAAGAGAAAGAATGATAGGAACAATTAGGATTATTAGGATATTAGGACTATTAGGATTTTTTTTTCTTTTTAAAAGGAGAATTAGAGAACTATGAGTGTCTCTGGTAAGTAACCATGCTCTAGGGATTCCATCTACACTGGTAAAAGTAGGGGGGTTAGATTATTCTGAAATTTCTTTAACATTTCAACGGTAAAGCCATCAGGCCTCAGGGCTTTAATGCAGCACACAGTTTTAATTGCCAGATTTATTTCATTAATGTCTAGGGGGCATCAAGGATTGTGGCATCTGAATCAACTGTGATGACATTTAAACTTTGTAGAAAATAAATCATAGCCTGTGGGTCAGATGGAACTTCAGATGTATAGAGTTAAATAAAAGGATTGAAAATGGCATTTATTTCTTCAGTTTTAGATATCAGATTACTAACTGAATCCAAATTCAAAATTGAAACCATTTTTAATGATTCAATTCAATTTAGCACTCTAATTGTCTAATCAATTGAAATCATGAAAATGATTATATAAATTCTACTTCCATTTATCTTCTATTAAAAAATTATTTATGCAAGACAAATTATGAAATTGTCCTGTTGTTTATTTATTTACATTCCACAGTACAATAGTAATTGGGATTATATTTCTGTCACAGTGTTTTCAAGTTAGTTAAAAATTTGTTGTGAAGATAGTTCAGTTTTCATGTCTACATGATATAACAACAGTTTCCCGCAGATAAAATTGTAAAAATGCAGATAAATTGATTCTTAGAGCAGCTCTGGAGATGAAGTTTATGCGTCCGTGTCCTTTTATAGTGATACAAAAGTTGGATTGAACACTGCATGCATTACTTGTGAACCAAACCACTCGTTCATTCCAACATCAAGACTTATTTATTGTTGTTGTTGTCCAGCACTTTATATATATATATCAGCTTTTGTACTTTTTATTAAGTAAATTGCAGATTCTATCCTTTTTCCAGACATTATAATGGCCCTATGATTATTTAACATACGTACTTCGACAAACGAACAGAAATGTCCAAGCCGTTTGTAAGCCACCCTAATGCTAATGGCCTTATGTCCTTTAACCTGAATTTCACCCATCAGTTAAACCCCTGTTTCATTCAAGGCAGGCTGGGAACCTGGGCTCACTGTTCGAGGGGAGTGAAGGCAGAATGACCAACATGGACGGTTAGTGTTGACACTGGCCGGTGTGATGCCTGCTGTCCTCATCAGACTCCTCGGTTTGAGGCTCGAAGCAGTTGTCGAATTTCTTCCGCAGTCTTTTCTTGAGGTTCAGACCCCTCTGGATGTTTGTGTTTGTGCACTCCTGAGCCTTTAGCTTGGCGTAATAGTCAGAAAATTTGTTGAACAGGATGGAGATTGGCATTCCATTTAAAATGATACCAAAAGAAATGCAGCCAAAGGCCACCACTCGACCGGAGTAGGAAATGGGCACCACGTCTCCATATCCCACAGTGGAAATGCTCACCTGTAAAGGCATAAAAAAAGACAATGTATATTTATTTACTGCAAAATACACTCTAAAAATGCAAACTCAGTTATTGTGTAAATTATTTCATAGAAAAGCATAACCCAAATGAATTAAAATAATAAACGAATAGCTTAGATAAAACAGCATGAAAAGAAAAACAATATTTTTACACTGCAAAAAAATCTTTTTCTTAATTAGATTTTTTGACTTGTTTCTAGTCCAAATATCTACAAATTCTTAAATCAAGGTACATTTTCTAGACAAGCAAAACATATTGTATTGCTAAGTGAGTTTGAAAACTAAGTGAGTTTTTCCTTGACACAAGCAAAATGGAATAAGCAAACTGATCTTGTTTTTCCCTTTAACATAAGATTATTTTGCTTATTCCATTAGCAGATTATTTAACTTGTTTATGTTTTGCAGTGTATAAACATGCCTTAAATGTCTGTCTAAAATTTAAATAACATAAAAACTTCCTTTTTGTTATTGTTTATTGCCTATCAAAATGATTATTGTACACAAAATAATTTACGTTTGGTGTTTGTTCAAACTACTTATTTAAAATGAGCAGAAACAACACAATTCTTAAGTTTTTTTTGGGGGGGGGGGCTCTTAATTGTTTTATGTTCAATCTACTTAATTTTGTAAAAACTAATAAGGTAACTTAACTCCTTCATGTTTCTCCGACACAAATTGATTGTGTGGAGCCCAGCATTTTTACTGTGTAGGTTCAGTAATAATCAAAGAACATGTTTCTTTTATTGTCTTAACTCATCATAAACATATGGAAGCCTAAGAAAAATGCTTATTCTAGAGGAAAATGTCAGATTGCACTTTTTACAGACATGTTTTTGCATCTGAACTTTTCAACTGCCCTGTTAAAATTACTGGTTGCTTTATATTTTTAAGCTTAATCAAATTAACCTTATGAGTCATATAAACATATTATGTGTTAATTGACTTAAAACAGCTTGCATAACCCATAAAATTAAGTTAAAACATGATTCACTAAGTTTAAAAATTTATAATTAGCTAAACAATATGCTGTCGTGACTAATTGATCATATAGTTTTTACAGTAAATTACTGTAGGTAAATAAATTACAGGCGGAAAAGTATAAACAGATGTGTAAATTTAAAAGAACTATGTATTCTTTTGTTGCATTGCTAATATTAAGTATAAATAAATGTAATATTAATAAATATAGTAACAGCTGAAGATTTTGCATTTATTTCCATATTTGACGTAAATTGAGTTGAAACACAGCACAGCATTTGTTAGAGACTCAACAGACTTTACTGTTTATAAAAACTAAAGTGGCATAGCAGAGTTATTTTTCCAGTTTATTAGCTCAATGATTAAAGTCAAATTTGTGCAAGCAAGGCAACTTAGTAAGACTTAGTAAGCCTCCAGGAAGTTACAAACTAATCTAACTTTTCCAATCAGCACGGATGCCTCCAATTGAGCGGCATTACAAGGTATTATATAAGATTAAACACAGCTGCCAGAGGATAAAGACCAACAATTTAAAGAGGATAGAAGAATACAACAGCCACAGCAAATGATAATAATGATAACCGTGAAAAATAAAACCCACTTACAATGCATACAGACACAGATTCTAATATTTCAGTTAATAGGTGTAAATTATGACAACATTTACATAAAGTACTTAGCTTTTATTTTGGTATAACGGAAAACAAATAGCATCAGAATTGAATTTATTGCGTCTATCGCTATGTTTTTTTAGTATTATTAGTGTTATTATTAGTTTTAGTGTTATTTACATTACATTTACATGCAATCACTTGGCAGATGTTTCTATCGAAAGCAACTTACAAATGTGAAAACAGAAGTGATCAAAACAAAACCAGCAAACAATTTTGTGTTTAATAGACGTCTAATAGACATCTAAACATAGATAGCTTGGCTAAAATAAGGCTGATCTTAGGCTGTCAGTGATATCTATTCTTAGACGTCTATTAGATTTTCACTGACAGCACAAATTTAGCCTTGTTTTAGCCAAGACGACTATGTTTTTAGACGTCTATTTGACATCTGATAGACATCTTTTAATCAACAAAAAATGCTTGAAAGAACAACATGTAAATGGTAATACAGTACACAGCTATGGAAAGGTTCGGCTGGATTTATTTATGGTTTTGTTTTTGAGTAAAACTTTTTAAAAATGTTGTTTTATTCTGTTAAGTGACTTTTCTACCCAATTAAAAAATAAAAATGTTGCCTGTTTAGCATAAAATAACAGAAAGTTTTTTTTTCAAACACATATTTATTCATGTTTAGGCTATTAAATATCAGTGCTTTAACTTCAGAGTAAAGAAATCGATATGTTGTTGATTTTCTTTCATAATAATTGAAAAATAGAGTTATAATTAACTGCAATTTTCTTTAAAAACATTTTTATTAAAATTAAATTCACTTTAATTGAGCTTCATTTAAACAACCAAAAGCACCAAAAGTTTAACAGTTTTTTTATTTTTATTTAAATAACAATATAAGAGTTGAATGAAAAACTGAGTCATATACAAAACCAGAACCTGATCACCATGGGCCCCCTGTGCACCCTCTCTATCGCCCCACATCAGTGTCTGACATCACTGACACTCTTGTCTCTGAATGAGAGCAAATCCCCACAGCTATGTTCTCAAACACTGAGTTGAAAGCCTCCCCAAAATAGAGGAAGCTGTTGTAACAGCACTGTCCTAATAATAGCCTGGGTTTTAACACCGTGTCCTAACTACACATGACGCGACACTGCGACATGTGATAAAAGGTGTCTTTTCCATGTTAAAGTTAGTTTTTGCATTAACCACCTACAGCTGTAACATGCAAAGTTTATATTTCAGCAATGTCATGGCTGAACAACATCATAAACTACAATAACAATGACAACTGCCTCAGGTACTGATTATGTGCTTCATTCAGTGTTAAAGGCTACTAATGTGAGTTTTAACATCATTTTAGGTGCATTTATTGCTATATACTGCAAAATACACTCTAAAAATGCTGGGTTACTTTCATTTAATTTTTGGACAAACATATGGACAAACTCAGTTATTGTGTAAATTATTTCATAGAAAAGCATAACCCAAATGAATTCAAATAATAAACAAAATGCTTAGATAAAACAGCATGACAAGAAAAACAACATTTTTACACTGCAAAAAAATAATTTTCTTAATTAGATTTTTTGACTTGTTTTTAGTCCAAATATCTAAAAATTCTTAAATCAAGGTACATTTTCTAGACAAGCAAAACATATTGTCTTGTTTTCAGAAATATGCCAAAACTAAGTGAGTTTTTCCTTGACACAAACAAAATGGAATAAGCAAACTGATCTTGTTTTTCCCTTTAACATAAGATTATTTTTCTTATTCCATAAGCAGATTATTTAACTTGTTTATTTTTTGCAGTGTATAAACATGCCTTAAATGTCTATGTCTAAAATTAAAATAAAATAAAAACTTCCTAAAAACTTCCTTTTTGTTATTGTTTATTGCCTATCAAAATGATTATTGTACACAAAATAATTTACGTTTGGTGTTTGTTCAAACTACTTATTTAAAATGAGCAGAAACAACACAATTCTTAAGTTTTTTGGGGGGGAGGGGGCATCTTAATTGTTTTAGGTTCAATCTACTTAATTTTGTAAAAACTAATAAGGTAACTTAACTCCTTCATGTTTCTGATGTGAGTTTTAACATCATTTTAGGTGCATTTATTGCTAGGCTGAAATCTAGCAAATATAAAGTTTAAACATGAACATTAGAACTGTGAATCGAAGTGCACACCATTTTTAAAAGGCTTAATATGTGGGCGGCATGGTGGCTAACTGGTTAGCATGATTGCCTTAGAGAAAGAAGGTCGCTGGTGGACCAGGAGGGCTTTCTGTGTGGAATTTGCAAGTTTTCCCTATGTCTGCGTTGGTTTCCTCCAGGTATTCCAGTTTCCTCTCCATCTAAAAACATGTGGTAAAGGGGAATCGGAATAAACTAAATTGAGTGAAGTGTGTAGATATAATCCAGAACAATTGGTTCATTACGCAGTGGCAACCTGATAAAGCATGGATTAATCTGGAGGAAAGTGAGTAAGGTTAAATGTGTATTAATTAGATTTTAATAATGTTCATTTCATTGGGAGTGAAGAGCACCATTCAGCACTTTTGAGCGGTTCTGGTATTAAAATGTTTTAGTCTTAACGTGTGAGGTGCGGACAGACAAAATGCTTGCCAATGGAATCTTGTCATGCTGTGTGTTGTTAGGAAATGGTGTAAGGGGTTATCAAAGGCAGGGGTTCCCAAACCTTAGAGCCCGCAATCCACAAAATAAAAATCACAGTGACTCAGGGCCCCCACTATCCTCAGAGGTGGTTATAAACATACAAACTTGCGCACACACTAATAGATCTATGTAATCACAACACAAAAAAGTACAACAGACTAACAATAATTTTTTGTCAGTATTTTTTATGAATTTGTTTCATTTAATATTAACCTCTTCTAATGAGTAGGCCCTGCGCGCACAGAATTCCACAGATTTTCCGCAGATTTTCTGCAGATTTTTAGCCCATCGTTAATTCTGTTTTTTTACTTGAGTAAATGAGTGTAAATGTATATTTATTCCGTTTTTAAATTAATTACAGTAATATTATTGACTAATATAAAAATTTCCATCTGATTTATGGACCATGCAGTTTGTACTGTAATATTTTCTGTCTTTTAGCACATATATGAGAGACTTGCTTTGTTTACCAAATAAAGTGAATCTAATTGGATTTGCATTTTATACATTAAATACAAGTTAAAAAAATATAATTTTTTTCATTTCACATATTAAGGTTTCCATTTGGCCCTGCTAATAAGACTGGTGGGCATATCACAAGTCTATTCTTGGTTTAATTTTGGATTCATCCTCTAAATTCAGTTGTATACAAGGTTTTGAATCTTTGTATGTAAAGTGCCGTAAAAGTGTCAACATTTCCCATGGTGCTGTAAAAGCAATTTGCTGCAACTGACGCTATTAATATTAAATATTACAATTTATACTATTAATATAACGTGAACACCCCATGGTTCGCAATACTAAGGAAAAAGGAAATCAAATGGCTGGTGGCTTTTTATTTGCATGTTGTAGTTTTTTATGTAACTAGTAAACACAATTTTTACCTCCTGTATGTTGTGGATAAAATATGCTAATTCTAATAGTTTAAAGTAATTTATTTGATTTTTGGAAATCACCAAGCGACCCTCCCACATTGTCCTGTGACCCTCCCAGGGGGTCCCAACCCCAACATTGGGATCCACTGATCTAGGGTATGGTGTTCTCTTTAAATAACACCATGGGTGTGGCCCATGTTCATTCATTCATTTTCTTTTCGGCTTAGTCCCTTTATTAATCAGGGATTGCCACAGCACAATCAACCGCCAACTTATGCAGCATATGTTTTAAGCAGCAGATGCCCTTCCAGCAACAACCCAACACTGGGAAACACCCATACACTCTAACATTACACTACAAACTATTTAGCTTATTCAATTCACCTGTCTTTGGACTGTTGGGGAATCCGGAGCACCCAGAGGAAACCCACGTGAACACAGGGAAAAAATGCAAACTCCACACAGAAAGGCCAACTGACCCAGCCAGGGCTCAAACCAGCGACCTTCTTGCTGTCAGGTAATTGTGCTACCCACTGCGCCACTGTGCTTCCTTTTTGCTCATGTTTATGATGCTTATTATAATTCTGCTAATTGTGGTGTAGAAGATTTAAAATGTACTCACCGCTGCCCACCACCAGGCATCTGGTATGCTGCTAAACGGCGTTCCTGCCACGTCCTGCTCCACCGAGTGCATGAGGGCGGAGAAGGTGAAGATCCCCATGATGATGAAGAGAAACAGACAGCAGACCTGTTCAAAACACTGGCGAAGAGTGAAGCCAAACGCTCGCATGCCCGTCGAGTGCCTCGCCAGTTTCAGGATGCGAAAGATCCGCATGAGTTTGACAACTTTAAGTATTTTGCTAACTTTGCTAACCCTCGCCATTGTTTTCAGGTCATCTTGGACACTGACATCCTCCTGGTCTGCAAAAGCCTCAAAAACCAGCTGAATAAAGTAGGGCATGACCGCCACTAAGTCTACAAAATTAAGTGCACTCTTCAGAAAATGCTTAATGTCGCATGTCGTCAGCAGGCGAAGGAAGTACTCAAAGGTGAAGAAGAGAATGGAGGTGATCTCCACACACTCCATGTAGGTTCTGCCATAGACTTTATAATCTTTCAGCTCGCTCACAGTATTGAGAGTCATTGCCACTATGGAGATGAGCACAAAAAGGCTTGAGAACACAGCAAAGGCCTTAGCGGACATCGAGGAGTATGGGTTCTCAATCAGGTCCCATAGCACCTTACGAACATCACCTAAAAACATACTCTTGAAACCCTCCTCGCTGTGCCTAGGCTCGATTTCCGCCATAAGCTCCCTGTTCACTTTCAGCTGATCTCTGATTTCATCTATTTTCTCCTCGTAGAGAATCCGGCAACATCGAGGGCTGTCCCTCAAATGCAAACCCCAAAACTGCATCTCTTCCTCAAAGTTGACAGGGCAAAGACTCTCCATTACCCATAATACGTTGCTACAATAAAAGTGGAAGATGTAGTGGAAGAAAGTCGGATCTCGGTCAAAGAAAAACTCATTGGTGAGCACGCAATAGTCATCGCAGAGATTGAGCTGCTTGATGGGGTCTTTGCACAGGGCTAAGCTTCCTATTCTGGTTTTAGGGTATCTGACAGCCAGGTGTTTGGGAATCGTGAAGACTTTCCCACCTACATTAACATTGATCACAGTTGAATGGCGGTGTGGCATCTTCGCCGCTTCGACCTCACTGCTTTTCCTCTTTTCTTGCTCTCTTCTGTCAGTCTTCTGAGGTGACGGAGTGTCGAGGTTATCCATCGAAGTCCAAGGTTTCACAGAGCTGTCTTGTGAAAAAGGAAAGGCACTCTCTTCTTCCTCTATACTCTGTGAAAAGCTGGCATTGAGTTTGGCGCTTGCGAAAAGACTTGAACGTCTCTTTTTCAGTTTTTTCAGATGTCTTCTTGGTTGATCCATTTTGCAGTTACGTCTTAAACAATGTGCGTGAAGGTAATGTGTCTCTTAAAAATGCCACAGAAGGAAGATTCCACAGTCAAATTGTACACATCCTGTTCGAAGTCTCAAGGAAGTGTCCAAACAAACGGAGAAAACATATTCCACTGCTTCTATATTTTGAGAGTTTGCAATAAAGCTAAAAAAGACAGAAAGAAAAAGCAACTGTATTTGTTTCAGCTCAACTGAAGATCAAGAGTTAGGATTTGCCCCACCTCACTGAAGCCATAATCCCATTGCTGTTCTTTCTGTCCTCAGCAGAGTTAAAAATACAGTCATGAGGATTAGTGTCGTGATTTAAGGATTGAGCCCTTGGAGGAGGAATAGCAAAGGATAAATAGCAGGTGTGGGGATATTAAATGCTCACCGCAAACTTCAGTTTATGTTGCTTTTAAACAACAGGAATGCAGCGTTGTGCTGAGTCTGATATTTAAACAATTCAGCGCAAATCCAATATGAAAATCCTTTAATCCCAAAATTTACTTATCTTGTTCGGTAGCATTGCCTCCACTTTTATATCCTCTCCATGTGTGCTTGCTGGCACATTTTAACACTGATATCATTAGACAACACCTCGAACGTAAAGTGCATTTACATATGTACTGTAATATGTATTTATTTAACGCATATATAGTGTATGGCCATACACCCAAAGTGCTTCGCAATTATGAGAGGTGTCTTTCCACACCACCACTAGTGTGCAGCATCCACTTGGATGCTAGGGTAGCCACAGGACGACGGCGCCAGTGCGCTCACCACACACAAGTTATAGGTGGAGTGGAGAGACAGTGATAAAGTCAATTAGGTGGATAGGGAAGATTGGGAGGCCATGATGGATAAGGCGAGATGGAGGGAATTTGGCCAGGACACCAGTTCCTCCCCTACTCTTTACGAGACCACAGAGAGACAGGACCTCGCTTTAACGTCCCATCCGAAAGACGGCGCTTACTGAAAATTTAGTGTCCCCTTCACTATACTGGGGCATTAGGACTCACACAGACCGCAAGTTGAGCGCCCCCTTCTGGCCTCACTAACACCACTACCAGCAGCAACCTAGTTTTCCCATGTGGTCTCCCATCTAGGTACTGACCAGGCTCAGCTCTGCTTAGCTTCAGTGAGAAACCGTTCTTGGGCTGCCGGGTGAAATGGCTGTGACCATATATTATTAGTCTTGCAAATAACTTTTAACAAACTATTGAAGTACAGTGAGAACTGTTGCATTTCTGTCTTGACATTGAAATTATTAGGCCAATGCAAAATTCAATATAAATTTCATTATGTTCTGTAAAAATGTAATCATTTTATGCATTTTATGCAATTAACAGGCTAATTTCATATAAATTCTTGACAGATCCCTGGTATCTGTTCTTCTCTAATTTCTTGATGCCTATAACTATGAATTTTAGCATGCACACCATTAATATATTGTTCTGTTAATTGTTTCTTTCTATTTTTGTTTATTTAACTTCTATTTTAATTTATGGCACTTCATTTTTGCATCTCGTGTTTAAATACATATGAACAGCAGCTACGCTAATTATTTTCTTTATTCTCTTTTTCCATCTGGGGTTACTCGTCCTGAGGCCTCTGGAAATTATGCAGCGCCACTGATGCAATCCAAGACCTGTGAAGAAATTATGTTATCCTGATCCTGGTATTATTATGGTATCCATAATCCTGGACCAGGCTGTATCCTGAGCTGTCGCTGTGAGGGTAATGGAGGAGAGGTAAGCATGATCTTCCTGAAAGATTCCAGTGATAGACAAGTCTCTGCATTGGTCCTGTGGGCCAGCCTGACCTCCCGCTAGAGCTCACACCTGCAGCTTCTCTGCAATGAACATCCAGCTTTCTCCAGCCTCTGGATTGTCAAATTCTCATAGTGATACATAATACTAACAATAATAAATAGTACATAAGTTACAAACGTATGGGACATTTTTATAATAATGAGTTTGGCGCTTATAAATATAACATTTATAGTTTTTTTATTATTGAATGCTTGAAAAAACTTAAAAACAAATGTCATCGATCAAACAACAACAATCCAGGGGGTTTCAGTCATTTAGTCCAGTGTTTCTCAACCATTTTCCTAGAGCACCACCAACACTGCATGTTTAGGATGTCTCCTTTGTCTATCACACTCGTTACAGATCTTTTAGTCTCTGTTATTAAGCTGATGATCTGAATCAGGTGAGTTTGGTTAAGGAGATAAGGAAATTGTGAGCTGGTGGTCCGCCAGGAACGTGGTTAAGAGTCACTGATTTATTCCAAGACAAGTGCCAAGTCCTTGTTTGTATTGCTTTTAAGTTTGTTGATCCTACAATAGCCTCAAAATACATTTTAATTTCAGTTTTAAATTTAGAAAGAAAAAAGGTTTAACGTTACACTTACAAAACTTGCTTATGTAAAAATGAGATTTGGCCAACAACAAAAAATAAGGTTTATAAAATAAGTATTATTTTCCTTTTCACATTCATGGAAACCAAAGATAACGTATATGTTAATTCAAAATCTGCCTGCGCATAATCTTTTATAAATATAATATTTATAGTTCACGTTTAAATGCAAGGGGGCTGCTGTCATACTGAAACACCGCAGTGAACATAAAAGTCTCCTGAAAAAAAATCCTTTCATGATCCCGGAAGCGGAAATGAGTTGTCGTAAATATAAAAACAATTTAATAATTAAGAAGTCATTATTTTTACAGTCTACTTATGTCATTATAAATTGTTTCAACATAGAAGTCATAGTAAACCCCGATCAATTGAAAATACGCATTTTGGGTGTTTGTATAAATATTCCACCGGGACCACGTGACTTCCTTTCCGAACGAAGCTGAAATCATGGACGCCAGCCGCGTGCAGCCCATCAAGCTCGCCAGAGTAAGTAAAATAAAATTTATTGAGTATTTACCTTCTTATTTTGCTATTTAGAACTTATTAGATGAAACTCGGGTAGATTGAAGTCTTTTTCGGGAAAATGATTCTTTAATAGTCGTAAAATCCTGTCACATCCACGCTCAGGAATACAGCGGTGCTTGTAGTCAGGCCTTTAGTTAGCGTTAGCATTATGCTATACAAAAGTTTGCTTAGCTAACAGCTTATATAGGATAATTTTACTCGCCTGACACGTTTAATAATGTGGTAACTGTTTGTTACAGGTTACAAAAGTGCTGGGAAGAACTGGCTCCCAGGGACAGTGTACCCAGGTAAGCTCATACTCTACACATGTTAGGAGTCATGTGGAGCTGCAGAGATGCTCAGGAATATACGTTTGGCAGCATGAAATAAAATACCTTGTGTTGATTTCTAAAACGGGTAAAGCATTGTTAATTTAACCTAGGTGGAAGTTTGTGTCATCACTACAGAGGTTATAGAATATATATTTTTTAATTTTGCTCAGCATGGCAAGTAAAAATGCAAAACAACAATTTCTCATTATTTTGATCATTAATTGACATGTATTTTCCATATTTGCTTGATGCAATCTCTGAAAGACAACACATGGGATTTGTTATTTTAAAATGTAAAGAAATAATGTTTTTTGCTTCTAAAGGCATTCAGTTATTAAAATAGTTTAGTCATATTCTATCTAATCAGCAGGTTATTAATTAGTCAATGTGAAATTCAATGTAGACTTTTTTTTAAAATTCTAATTTGTAAAGATTAGGAAAGGGTAACGCTGTGGCAGGATGTGCGTGTAAATGTGAGTACTGATGGGGTTTCAGAAATGAATATGGTGTATAATATAATGTGATTTTTATTTTTTATGTTTTTTTTTTTTTTAAGATTAAATTCCATGGAAGATGCATTTCTGTTTAACATGATCATAACCTGATTTAAAATGCGTTGTAGTTTAAATGTTCAATTTTAGACTTAAAAAATAAACGTGTGTGTGTGTGTGTGTATATATATAGTGTTGTAATGTTTTTAGTTGGCGTACATGTTAATGTTAGTTAACCGTTCACACTCGTATGTGGGAGATCGGTTGAAAAAAGCGTATACTGTACAAACATTTTTGGGAAATAATATTAAAAAGTTGGTCAAACTTAATTAAAAAAAAAAGAAAAAACCCATTTTGACCCCTGAATGTACTCCAAATGAACATGATGCTTATTTTATTATTAATTATAAAAGTATTATGAAATTATTATGAAGCTACGTGCATTTAAAAGTACTTATAATTCATTAAAGGATGTTTTTTTTTTAAAGAATTATGCTTCTCTTCTGGCTATAAATGAACCAAATTGCATTGTGCCTGTTTTCAAAGGTGCGTGTTGAGTTCATGGATGACAGCAACCGATCAATCATCAGGAACGTGAAGGGCCCAGTCAGAGAAGGAGATGTGCTGACACTTCTGGAGTCTGAAAGAGAGGCCAGGAGACTTCGCTAGGTCAGTAAACAACATTCACTGCTGGAAATATTGCTAGTCATCATTTTTTTTTTTTAAGACAAAATTAATTGTGTCTGAAAAATGTAAGCTTATCATTTATGTCTGATTAAAAAAATGTTTGACTGTCTGTAGTTTGCTTGATAACTTGTGTAAATATGATAACACTGGTCAGTTGACCAGCCAGTCTTGTGTTTTTGTTTTGTTTTTTTCAGCTTTCTGCAGGTTTTAACAGTTTGTCTGTTTGTTTCTGCAGTGCACATGAAGAGCTGCAATGGCCAAAGCTGTACTCGTGGAGCAGATCAACACCAGCTCTACAGTTGGCAGTACTATACCATTTGGGTGCAGATTGAAATAAATTGACTTTGTGAATAAGTTGGTCTCATTCTCCTATTTTTAATTTGATATTTTAATTTCTGTTGTACTAATTGCACATTATGCCAGTTTAAAGGGATAATTCACCCCAAAATTAATTTAACTCAAGTGTTTCTAAGCTGTTATGAGAGTTTTAACATAATATTTAACAATTTACAGAAGAATGCTGGGGGAAAAATCTGCCATATATGTGCATGTACAGTAATCAGCATTTAATGGGTGTTCAATAGTTTTAGGACAACTTTGAGTTTCGAACAACTTAAAATGTTGACTACTGTATATCTAGGTGACACTGAGGGGCGAACAGAAGAAACTCAAATGAGTTTGGAACAAGTGGATCTGTAAATCATGACATTTTTTGTTTAGTGGGAAATAAATGATCTAGTTTAACTAATGTGAACTAAATTTTATGTGCAAAGCAAGAACTACACTTACAAGAGTGAACTACATTTCAGATGAAGCTGATTTTTCTCATGCAAATGTGAGATGAGTGTTAAAAGAAAGCAGATATTTAGAAATATGTTGGTCATCAAAAGTTTGCTTTCATTTGGTTTCACCCATTTTCCAAACATAAATTTAATATAAAAACTGCCCTATTTAGCCAAAGCCATTGTTAGAATAATATGGCATATTTTGGTTTAGTACTTGAAGTTTATCTCAGTGTCTTTAAGTTAAATGTATAGTCACCCAAAATTAGTAGGTCTCAGAGCTCAAGTCCTACCCATTTGAAGCTGGCTCAGTTTATACCCTTCCCCAGAAATTTACTCACCATTACACTTAAGTGGTTTTAAACAATGTATTTCTGGATATTCTAGAGATGGTTGGCATCTATTGTAGGAACAAAATGCAATGCAAGTCAATGGCTGTTTTTATCCAACATTCTTTAGCTTATCTTCAGTTGTGTTCAACAGAAGAAACTCAAATGGGTTTGGAACAAGTCACAGATGACTAAATGATGGCAGAATTTTTATTAGTTCCACCAAATAGACTAATTTAATCCCAAAAACAAATACTATGGAGGTCAATAGTTACTGGTTTATAGTTTCAACAGAAGACAGACACTCATAAAAGTTAAACACTAGTAAAGGATGAGTAAATGAATTTTTCAGTTTCGGGTGAAGTAATCCTCTAAAACAGCTCACCAACCCTGTTCCTGGAAAGCTACCCTTCTGCAGATTTTAGTTGCAACCCTGACCAAACACACCTGTTTGTAATTATCAAGTGCTGCTTTAGGTACTATTAATTGGTTCAGGTGTGTTTGATCAGGGTTGGGACTGAATTCTGCAGGAAGGTATAGCTCTCCAGGAACAGGGTTGGTGACCCCTGCTCTAAAATATATGAGCATGCAACACACATTTGCCTGTGTGTCCACCAGAGGGCGGCGTTGCACAGATTTGTCAGAATAATCTGAAGCAGTCGGTGTGAAGAAAACAGCTGTCGAATAATGATCCTGCTTTTAACCACTGAACACATTAGCAGATGTTTAGGTCAGAGTAGCATGGTGTATTTTGCCTACAGTTTTAGCCACCCCCTACTGTCTTCTCACAACATAAAACATTTTTTAATGTTTGTTTGCGGAGCATCTGCGCTCGCAGCTTTCACCTTTTGCCTTAAAACACAGCATCACATTTCAGTGTAGCTCAACTATTGTAGTTAAATAATGCAATTAGGTAGTTTACAGTTAGCTCATTTCAAATATATCTTGGGTTAAAAAGTGTACAAATGTACTTTTTCCACTGATAGCATTTCAGCAAATATTGGGTTTATTCATGACTTGTGCAAACTAAAGCGTGAATCAAATAAAAGCATTTGTAATATTTGCTCAAAAGCAATAGTGGTTTCAACGAGACCAAAGTACTAGGTCATTTCAACATAATTTGGAGATTTGAGATGACTACAGCTTTTAATATAATCAATATTTTGTTTCACATTTTATAATGCGCCCCATTTAAAGATGATGACTATTTAAAGGAATAATTTAAATGTACTCATCCCCAACTGCTTCCATAGTTTTTTACCTTTATCAACACGTATGAAGATATTTGGAGGGACTTTGGTAGTAATGTTTTTAAATAGAAATGTGGATGTTATATGCTATGCCCGTTACCACCATTCTTTAAAGTATCTTCTTTTGGAGTTAACTGAAGAAATCCCAAGAGGTTTGGAGAAAGCAGGTGGTGAGTAAAAGAAGATACAGTTGAAGTCACAATCATTAGCTCCCTGTTTATTTACCCCCAATTTCTCTTTATTGAAGAGAGGACTTTTTCAACACATTTCTACACATAACAGTTTTAATAACTAATTTCTAATAACTGATTTATTTTATCTTTGCCATAATGACAATAAATAATATTTTATTAGATATTTTTCAAGACACTTCTATACAGCTTAAAGTGACAATAGGCAGGTTAGGGTAATTAAGCAAGTTATTGTATAATGATGGTTTGTTCTGTAGACTATTGTAAAAATATAGCTTGAAGGAGCTAATAATACTGACTTTAAACTGCTTTTATTCCAGCTAAAATCAAACAAATAAGACTTTCTCCAGAAGAAAAAAGTATTATCAGACATACTGTGAAAAAGTCCTTGCCCTGTCAAACATAATTTGGGAAATATTTAAAAAGTTTTTAGGGGGTTAAATAATTCTGACTTCAACTGTATATTGAAGAATTCTGAATACTGTTGGCCATTGACTTCCATAGTATTTAGTTTTTCCTATTTAAATGAATAACTTTTAACATTCTTCGAAATATATTCTTTTGTGTTCAATATAAAACAGAAACTCATAAATCTCTAAAAAGAAAAACACTTGAGGGTGAGTACATGAGTACATACTATCCCTTTAACTTCTCTTTGAAAATTACAGTACACTCAAATTATATTATTTATTTCATCAAACTAAAATTACACTTATGAAGCTTTTAAGAACACTTTAAAAATGATATGACAAAAAGTCATTTATGTTACTTTATGTTACTTTGAAACTTATGTTACTTTAATATTAATATGTTATTTGGATTTTAACTAAATTTTCTTAGTTATACAAAGTTTTACTAATAATTTTTTGACAGATGTAAGTTGAGATGACTATAAAAGTTCACTAGTCTCCAGATGTTTTTGTATAACAAATAAAATTAGAGAGGTATCATTTAAAATTGTTCATTGTATTTATCCTGTAAAACAGGTAATTGCTAAATATTGTAAAGATGTTTCCCAGAGATGGGTTGCCGCTGGAAGGGCATCCGCTGCGTAAAAACTTGCTAGATAAGTTGGCGGTTTATTCCGCTGTGGCGACCCCGGATTAATAAAGGGACTAAGCCGACAAGAAAATGAATGAATAAATGAATGTAAAGATGTTGATTTAAAATGTGTTTTCTGTACTGATAAAGAAGAGAGTATCGTTCAGTTATTTTATGATTGTATTTACATATGTTGCATTACTTATTTAATTATTTTGGTGTGATCTTTTCTTTTTAAGCAGAGTAGGAATATTGCATTGTAATTCAAAGAAAAAAGACATTTTATTTTTTCTGAGAATACAGTCGACTTCAAAATTTGGTATATTTTGGTAATTTGCTCATTATATTTGGAAATTGTATTGATTCATAAATGTAAATGGGCAGTGAAAAAAACTAATTTTACGCACTTTAAACTAAAAAATAGGTCATCACCTATGTAAAATAAAAAATTTAAAAAATAAAAATACCAAAGCAAAAAGAACTGTTAATTATCTTAAAGCCTTAAATCTTCTCTTTGAATAATTGTATTTTTTTATATTGTATTTATTTTGGTGTCAGTTTAATGTTATTTTATTGTCCTTGAATGTTCTGTGCCCTAAAATTGCATTTGAATAAAAAAATACAGTTAATTAGATTCAACAACAAACAATAGGCAGCAAGAATTGTTACTGTGAAAAAGCAAACACCTTTTTGTATTAATTTAAAGGGATAGTTCAATTAAATGTCATGATTTACTACCCATAACTTGTCTTAAACCAGTTTGACCTTTGTGTTGTTATACACAAAAGAAGATATTTTGAAGAATGTTTAAAAAAAAACTAACCGTTGGCATCCACTGTCACTGAAAAAAAATGTTTCTGCAAAAATGTTGCAAATAATTTTTATGGGCTGAATTTAAATTTAAATTTAATATTGTTTAACTTAATTTGTTTGTTTAAATGGAGCACAAATAAATTGTCAGCAACCACTTAACTTAAAAAAAATTGGTTAATTCAAGGAATCACCTTTGAATCTTTTTTTTCTTCAGAAAACAAATAGAAAGTCAGTGATTGCATGTTTCCAACATTCTTCAATATATTTTCTTTTGCATTCAACGAAACAATAAAACTGTGATCCAACAAGTAAAGGGTGGGTAAATGATGACACAAATTTCATTTTTGGGTGAACTGTCCCTTTAAAGTATCAAACCATGAACTTTACTCTTAATAAAACAAGTTTAAATTGCCCCGACTCAGCTAAACTAGTGTGTTGGCCAATGACTGTTGGGCTAAAGAAAAAGTCAGTCATACCACTTGAGCAAAAGACATTAAACTTTGCATTCAGTATCTAAAAAGAGGAACTGGGGAATCATTTCTTGTAATCTGATTCTTTGTGATTCTGCATAGAGGAGTCTTCAGAGCAGGTACGTGCAGGGAAGAGTGTTTACTCGGACACAAGATTACCCAGATACATATCCCTGAGGTCTCATCTTTCTCTCAGGGGAAAAAACTGAGGTGACTGTCGGACAAACTCACCAGCATTTGTCAGCTGCAGTAAACAACTTCATGTACAATGAAGACATGCACAAGAAAACCTGAGGTTTAATAATGAAGTGGTTCTGTTATATTGACAGTTAAAGTTTAAGCATCAGCTTACACAGTTTTTTTATGCATGTCAGTTTTTGACATAATCGGTGGCTCGGTGGTTAGCACTTTTGCCTCGCAGCTAAAAGGTTGCAGGTTCTAGTCCCGGCTGGGCCAGCTGGCGTTTCATTGTTGAGCT